GATTTCACATTGTTAGTCTACTTGCTCTAGTTAGTTAGTTGAGCTGATGTTGGTGAATCAGACTAATGCTTAGTGAAAGCTATACCTTTAAAACCGTTTGTCTTCTTTTGCACTCGACTCATTGTGTGCTTAATCATGATTGATCGGCTCTTAGCTGTTGCAGCAGAGCACATTGGTTTTTTTTTTTTTTTAAACTGTTTTCAGCCTTCATTTCTGTTGCTAGTTATAGACTATTTGGATGTGTGGACACTGATAAGGCACGTATGCTGTGAAGAGCACCACAACTCCTCCAGTTTCTTACCCGAGCATCTTAACCAGGGCAGGAATGCCTCCGGACTTGAAGATTGCAAGGAGCCCCTCACGATGGTGGGAAAGGTTGTGCAAGGTGCCAGCAGAGCAGCGAGCCGTCTCCACATCACCGGTGTTCTGCATGGCACGAACAACGGCCGAAACCATTTGCGGGGAGCGCATCAGGGCGTGACGCGACGCCTCCTTCTTTGACAACTGATGCACCATTACAGCAGCTTTATTCACGACAACCTAGGACAGAGAGGATTATTGTTAGGGGTGCATGTTTTAGAACGGGATGTAACACAGCAGGCACCATTTCGCCTTTTTGAGTGTTTTCATGTGATGATTCACTCCTTGGGACACATACCTGGTCCTCATCATTGAGCAGTTTGGTAAGCTCAGGGATGGCACGAGTGGCCAGCTCGGCATCATCTTGATAGTTAATGAGGTTGACCACAGCATGCTTCAACATCTGAGAGGGCTCTGCCAGGCGCTGCACTGCTGTGGGGTGGGCAGCATCCAGCTGGGTAGGTGGGATCTGGATGCCCTCCTCCAAGGTCTCTGGGAACATGGCAGCACGCACACGCTGTGCCCGGGTCATGGCATAGCCCTCCATGTCTGAAAGCAACACGAGATGGCGATGAATATCATGACAATGTCAATCATAGATTTATACCATTTATGCCGTAGCAGCTATCATGATATATGCAGTGTCTCGTATACCTGTAGGCTCAGGAGTGAAGGGCGGGTTGAACTCCCAGTCATAGAGAGATGGATCATCCTCCTCAGCATCAGGGTTTCCCTTGCCACTCAGAGATGGTGCTGTGGTAGTTACTCCAGACTGAATGCCTGAATCCAGGTAGGACTGCTGCTGCCACTGGCTCACTGCAGCCTTGCTGTCTCCCATTGCCATGTCCAACTCCATCAGATCAGCTACACAAAAGGGAGAAATTAGGTGAAACACAGGGTATGACTGAGTAAGGGTCATCTTTACCTCACTTTGACTTAGTTTCCCGTTTTATTCAAATACTTTTTTTTAGTAGTGTGAAAGGTTTTAGTAATTTTGTAGGTAATTTAACATTTGTAATCTTGAGTTATTGCAACTAGGAGTTGTATGAATTAAAGGAGGTTAGTTTACACTATTTCTGTTGAGGCAAACAGGAAAAAAAAAAGGGAACAACAAGCAAAGAAAAAGCTTGAGCTCCTCCATGCCCGATGCCCTCAGGTACTGATCGTAATTAAAAGTATGTAAAAATCGAATTCCTCTTTTAATTCCCAAGTTTTATCTTGGAGTAGAAGCTCAGATGCAACTCAACACGATATAAATTTCTTGGGATACTGTGACATGTGCTCGCCTAGCTCCCATTTTTCCAACTTCCACAAGGTTTACGGTATTTAATGTAATTATCTAGAGGCGCTCTTGTGTAAACTATTATGTACATACAAAATAAAGTGTTAACGGGCTCTGTTCACATCAACATGGAAATACTTTATGTGGAAGTTTTTCATACTTACACTGGGTAGCCATTGTTCTTGCCTGCCCTCAGCCCGCACAGCAGATATGTCTGCGAAAAAAGGAAACAAGTGCACAGTGGGAAAACGAGACAACTCACAACCTTGAGTTCTTGTTTGCTAGAGCCAAACCTAATCGTAATGTTTATGCGTTTTCTCCTACGTGGTCTCAATAATAAGTCCGCTGTCTTCCGCGCTAGCGTTACCTGTACCAGCTCCCTGTGATTCAGACGCTTGTTTGTCTTGCTAACGTATAGCTAAGGAGGGGAAATGCCGAGCCTCCACCTCCAGCCGAGAGAGCAAAGTGGTGGGTATTTCCAGGCCAGCACGAACACAATTCACCATTCAGCGGCAAAGAACATCAAAGGCATATTTCTCCCCCTCCCCCTACTACCACGGCCAAGTTCCGACCTCGCAGCTTGGGTTTCCAACGAGAGAAACTACCCGCAACCACTTCCATGACTCCTCCTCTCGTGGGGTGTCTCAGTAGGGAGCGGAGCAAGCTACATAATCAAAACTAAAACCCCATCTAACTGTACAGGTTACATCAACCAATAAACACATTTTAAAAAGGACATATGATTCAAGACAGGAGCGCTAGCGTGTATTGGCCACCAATGCTATAGCTAACAGGTTGGCTAGTTTACCTTGAGAGCTCGCTAAGCTAATGCGCGTAGCTAACCGCTAGTTAGCTAGCTAGCTAACATAAACAAACACAGTTTAGGGCTTCACTCACAAAAGCATAAATTGTACCGACTTGTCACTAGAAGCAACCGATATTCTAAGTCATCGTCGTTACAAATCGCTTCATTACACAAATCGTGACTTTCAAGCGAACCCTCCAATTTTTTTAGTTCTGGTTTGATTAGCTTAGCTAACCAGGACGTATGAAAAGTAGATCCAAAGCGCCACCGTACAAAACCTGCTGTGCTGCCAGCCAAATCAGAAAACCCCACCGGAGCCCCCTCCCTGGTCAAAGATGATTTTCTTTGGTGAGGCAAACATTGATGCGCGGTGAATACGTTATATAATAGCTGTAGAAAACATAGTGTCTTTACCAGAGTCAAGCGGCTCCTCCGTGGTTCTTTTTGGGGAATTTTTGTCCTTTCTCTTGGCTGGAAATAGGAAAAGGGCTGCTAGGTGAACCACCCGTAGAAGTCCGAACCACACCCGCTGTTGCTCCGCCGAATATGTTGCTTCCGCCTGTGCGATCGCACGTTAAGATGGCGAGGGGGCGAAAAAATACAATATTCTGCCGCACTCAGAAAAATAGAGCGCCATTTTAACTAAAAGTTTTAGCATAGAAACTGATATTTTACAGCTGTTGGCAGATATTGATATCATGTAATGGTAAAAGGAAGTCAGCCTTTTTCAGTTTTTACAATTTTGAATCTCGTAAATGAAAGATGTGTGATAGGGGAGGGCGAGGAGCATTCATTGGAATGGAATGTGATTCATGAGCTGCTGTGATATGAAAGATGGAGTTAATTAACATTTTCCCTACCAGGGCTATATCATTCATCCATATATCTTATTCAATTAAAACATGAAAGGTGCTTGTCAACCATCATCCACGTTTCTCATACTTTTACTTCACAGTTAAACCAAAGGACTCATTTTACATGATAAACTGCAGTGGTTAAATGGAGAGGAACAATCACATATAGACCACAAGGTTAAACCAGATAGGAAGTTGTAAAATACGATGATTGAATCTCAGTTTTCGATAGAAAGCCATAATCCAATCCATTAAACACAAAGAGCATATCTTAAAAACTAATCATTGATTGTCGGGGGCGGGGAAAGACCTGCAATGGCCACAATAACATGATACTCTGCTGTGGATTGAATGGCATTTGATCCTTTGTCTCTATAATTGCTTTTGTGGTGACATGAACTGCAAAACTTCAATCTATCACTAACTGATCAAAGGCAGACAGTAAAACATAAACATACTTGGGTATATGTAGGCTACAGGTGGCTTTAAAAGAGTAAAACACATTGCCTATGTTTATTCTTGAAATTGTATAAAATTGCTTATTTATGCATCTCCATTTTGGGCACTTATTCACAGACTAGTTGTAATGAAATTGCAATGCACATGACTGTGTAAAATCAGTGCACTTAAATGAATAGCGTGCATCTTGTGCATCTACTTCAGCTTCATTAAGTACACAGAACCAACAGGAAAACTTGTTTTGAAATATTTGTATAGCTATATGAAAGGATAATTTGTTGATATTAAATCAAAACGAACAAAAGAGAAAGTGTCACACAGAGCGCATGTGCATGTGCCTGATGCGTGCCATGGAGTAGAACAGGTCACAGTCCAAAGTGTCGTAGGGAAGCATATCAGTATCAGTGATACCGCATGAAATAGAAAAGGAAAGTTACGATCATTTATGTTATATCACAATCAGTTGGAATATTTTCTATTTATATCATTCAAACAGTGACAGAAATGTGTAGTAGGCTGATAAAAATATTCAGTCACTCGCCTGCAAGGGGTATGAATAACATCAGTGAGTAAGAGAAATAACACAGACCACATGCCACCAGAGCGAATAGAAGTGTGACGTGATGACATTTATTTCAGCGAGTGCTTACGGATTTTCATTAGTTTCTGCTTCTTTTGTGAGTATGTGGGATCAACATCAAACCCTCAGGATAAAACTAAATTAAGCTCATCCACTGTCTCCAGCTGTGGCAGAGAGAGGAGCAAGTCTATTTCATTTACCCAAGTCCCAACAAAGGCTGCAGAGTAAACACAAAAGATGATAGAAAGCACGACTGTATGTCTGCAAGACACCATCAGAAAATTAGACAGTCCAACATCTCCTGGCAATGCAAACACTAACACATATTTTTATCTTTCAGGCAAAAGTTATTCCTTGCAATCAGTCATGCAAGTTTATTTCCAGTCTTCTAATGATAATACTCGGAAATATATCATATTTATCTGCTTAGAGCTCATTAAAATACTGACACATTGAAGTGAGCTGTACATAACCAGTATTCTTATAAAGATATCAAGAGGAATTATTCTGATACAAGACACTGGAGGATTGTGTAAATATACTGAAAATAAATAATACAAATCAACCCTTTCTAACAGTTCCCCATCACAAAATATAACATTGCATTCAGCGTGAGGAGAAGAGGAATGACTGGTAAAATAAAAACAAAGAGAAGCCAGGTGGATGAATCCGAATAAATACACCTTTTATTTGACTGATTAACAGATCTGATTATACAAACGCCAACACAGAGCTCTGAAATAACAGGACCAATCAGCGAGACAATGACTGTACATTCTTGGTGTGACCCTCCATTGTTCTGACTCCCTTGCCCGCCCACCACCACCACCACCGCCCACTACCGCCACCCTGCCCGCAGTAACTATGGAACTGAATCACTAGTGCTTCTTTCTGTACAAGTAAAGCTCAGCTACCCCACCTACCCTCTACCACCCCCTCCCTTTTCAGTGCACTGTCTGTTATCTACAGGTTTGAGCAGTATCTACCACGAGGGGAAGTTTGGCCAATCGTAGAATTGGGTTGGCATGATGGACCTGGGTACCCTCTACACAGGACTAATGCTTGAGTTTGAACTTTGATCTGAAGTATTTATTTTGTTGTTGTCATGTTTGGCTTGACGGTGCTGCTGTAATAATAGTGTATGCACTGTTTTAAGAGCTTGTAGTGTAAGAGCATAGTAATGTTTTTGCCTTTTGGTTGTAATGCAAACAGCCCAAAATCTCTCGACATACAGGTCTAGGTTGAATGACTTCCTTTCCTTCTCTCCATCTCTCTCTCTCTCTCACACACACACACACACACAAACAGTCACTCACTGTCACATACACACATTCACACACAAATACTGGTATGTACGTCCCTTTATCTTAAAAAACATGACTGTTTGCAATTTTGTTTCAGGCATTTTTGTTGTTGTTGTTCTCAGTCTCTTCCTCTGGCCAAGTGTGACTTGCCCCACATACATTAAACACACAATTATCCCTATGATAAACCAAAATGCAGTTTCTTCAACATGCACCCTTCAGCAGTTCCTACAGTAAAAACACCAACTGTACCATCTTATTCATTCCTGCAATCAATCTCTTTCAACCCACCTCTCACTTCCTCTCATCCCGACCTCCGCAGCCCAACTGGTCCCCCCGCCCATACCCATTTACTCTCATGTAACAGACAGTCTTGTATGTAACAGTGACAAATGCTCGCCCTCAGCGCAACAGCCAGGTGGAGAGGAGAGAGGAGGGAAAGGAGAACAAGGTGCTGGAAAAGCGGTTTGGGGAAGATAGAGTGAGTTATTCTCCTTGAGGAGCAAGTGAAAGACGATGGAGGGGGAAAGTTGTGTGCCTACATCCCTCTTTCTCCCCGCATCTCTGTAATGGAGCGGAGGGAGGAAGAACAACAGAGGTGGAAGGTGACTGAGGTGGGGTGGGGAGAAGGAGAGCAGGGTGAAGTGTGTTGGTCTTCATGTGTCCTGGCCGTCGGCGGCAGGGGTGTCGTTGGCATTGGGCAAGTCCGAGTCAGTCTCCCTGCTGGATATGCGGTCCAGCTCTGCCTGTACGTCGCTCAGGCCCAGCTTCGAACCTGCATCAAGTGTGGGTAGACGCATACGAATTGGTGCTATTTCACAGCCAACATTTTAGACACAGTATTGAGTGGTTAAGTCACAATGCAATAAGCACAAAAGCAATTACGCATGGTTAAAATAAGACCTGGGTGAAATATTGATTCAGTGTTGTTAATTAGGCTATTTTTCTAATCTACTATCATTTCAGAAGACTCGACTAGTTTCAGCAATCTGAGGTGCAAGGCCAGTACGATAACGGACAGACGATTGCATACTGTGATGGGGAGGTGGTAAAATAGTTTGACTTCACCTCATCAATTGGATTAGTTTTTATAAATAGTTTATTTATGTAATTTATATGATGTTTAGATAGTATGAAATAATTGTTTACATCCAAATTCATTGCAATGAAGTTGATTTTATATTGTAATAATACAAATGAGATCATATTCTACCTCATCTTGCGCAAACAGTTCTTATTGCACTAAAAATATGTCAAACATTCCTTTAAATTTGTCTATTAATGCAAGAGTCAAATGTTATGAAAGGCCTGCAATTTTTTTCAGCTGTACGTTTCATACGGTAGTACAAATGTGATCTACTGTACTCGTTTCTTGTAGTTGCCTAGTTTGAAACAGACCAAAGTGGAAGACATATTTACTGTAATATTGAGCATGTCTGATAGTTAGTTTATAAAAAATATGGTTTCAACTGAAAACCTTACATCATTTCACAGAGAATATTGGGTATAGATTCTAACATTATGGCTAATATGTTGAAAAGTATCAAGCTATATATTTTTCTCTTATCGCCCAGTCTTAGTTAGAATCATGTGCAATGTCTGTGGCAGATGTTAGTGATGAGAAATGCAATGCAGCATGCCAACAGAAAAGTGTAAAGGATCACAATGGTGACAGGGCACTAGGAGGAGAAACATTAGGGTTGCAATTGTGTCATTACTGTCATGACTGGCACTTTTCCCCGCCCCGACCAAATTCGGGAAAAGAAAAGAGTGCAGCTCTGATTTTTTACGTAGTTCTGGATGTTGCCACTAATATGAAATTAAAACAGCTATTCTGTTACAAAAAAAAAATAACGGAAACAATTGTGTTTCGTTGGTTTTAAAATGCAAAAGTAATTCATTAGCCATAGGATCATCTCATGAACCAAAATTTCAGTTGTCAGAAGTTTCTGACTTTCACATAATCTAGTAATCTCAATAAACAAGTTAAAAAGGGAAACTGTGGCGATTTTCAACCTTCTTTGTATCGTTGCGATGTGGGTGGTATGTCCAAATGAAGGATGTTCGGCGTCATTTTGCGGACTATTGCCAGTGGGTGAGCGGGGAGCTTCGGGCGGCGGCGGTTCATTTGCACATACCACCCACAATGCTACGAGACAAAGACAGTTGAAAATCTGCAAAGTTTCCCTTTAACATAATTTACAGCCTACAGTAAAGTCCATGTGTTTTTGTAAAAGAAGTACATGGGTGATACAGGAAGCTTGAGCCTGGCAATGTTCCTCCTCGGTTGCTGCAGAAAGTTGGAGGCTCATGGAAAGAGCGAAAGGGTCAAAGGAAATATAGGGATGCTTCTGAGAATGAACGATGGCATACACAAGCAATAATAAAGGAGGAATATCTCTCTCACACACACCTTAACGTGGCCAACATCCTCTGACTAGTGCACACACACACACATTACGAGTGATGTTAACAGTGAGATTACACAACACAGTTAGGAATGAAAAGACAGTCACACAGTGCTACAGACGGGCATAAAGACGATGGGTGTTTGCTTAGACTCAAGACCCTTTTATGATTTTCTTTACCATGTGTTGTGTTCATGTCTGGAGCAGAGGACAGGAGAGTTAAAGAGAAAATGAAGGATGGCAGATGAAACCAAAAAGAAGCTAAGTAATGAGAGGTAACTGAAAATGGCATCAAACGATAATGCTGAATGATAAACAAATAAATAAATGAGCACTTTTTCTCTGTCCAACAACACCAGTGCTATTTCAACAGCCTGGTGTGTATTCTCACCTGACTTGCGTACTGTTCCTGGAGTGTTGTTACCGCCACCTGGCGTCCCGGGCCCCCCTGTACCAGCTTTCTTTGTCAGTAGACTATTGAAGAAGTTGGCCAAAACACCTTCACTGGTCTGACCTGCAGCATACAGAGACCAGAGTTCAAACACAACACACACACACACACACACACACACACACACACACACACACACACAGAGCAGTGATGAAATGCATGACGCACCCGACTGTGGCATTGCGTTTGCTACATTGGCCGCTGCGGAGCGATTACTCGTCCTGGGTGAGCCGGTGGGTGCTCGACTGGTGGTGTCCTGTGAACGACAACAGATTGTTTCACACATATGGACATCGGAGGGAGCTTTCCTTTATCTTATGAGCCAAAACTAGAGAAGAAGAAAAAAAAAAAAGGAGCACTCACCACTGGTCGCCCTGCGGTCACAGCGGGCTGTTTGGCGAGCAGCGACTGCAAATTAGAGCACAATATGCACACTCACTCCAATTAGTATTTAATTAACATATCAGGACCCTCAAGTGAGATTTTATTTATTGAGTACAGACAAGCAGCTGAACAACTGGCATTAACACAACCGAAATGCTTTCTGACCTGGAGTTTTACCAGAAACACTTGGTCATCTTCTGCCTGAATCTCCTTTTCATGTACAATCTGGTGACAAGCAAGAACAAATAAAGAGTTAAAAGAAAATACCAGTCCTTCCTTATAGCTCTACAACATCGATTAAACTAGATTGGATAATACTTTCATGATTGTTGCAGGGAACTTGCTTGGCGCATTGGCTGTGAAAATTATGCAGAAGGTAATGATACATACTATTACAGCGGTAATCAATCTGTTGCGCTGTAAGCTTCGCTTGCCTGAGAGGATCTTTCAAATTTCGCTGTTTTTAGTAGGAGCTGTACCTTTCTGACTGGCGGTTTGACTATTACTTCCTCGAAGCTGTCGTCTGCTTTTACTGTCTGGAAGTTCTCGTGAAGAATGGCAATCTTCTTCTCATTGTCCCAACCTGATGGACTGAGAGAGGGCAGAGGAAGGGTTACAAACCAAATACAGGTGGCCCCACAGTCCTAGTACATATACAAACACATACACAAAAGGCTTACATGAAGACGGCATCTCTTTCCACCACTTGTGCCGGGCAGTGGAAGGGAAAGCCATAGAGTCGGTGGACCAGATATTTGTACAGGATGTCCAGGTTTTTCATCTCCTTCACTGATGTGTAAACCAGAGATGCCCCGTCTGACAAGGCTGTCAAGGATATTTTGAACACCACCATTTCTAAATACAGGAGCAAAAACTAACAGCACAGAGACAGAAAACCTACATCTCTTAACAACAGTAGCACTACAGAAATACACATTCTAGCTCAGACTAATTGCGAGCAGTACACAAAAGATTAAAGAACGAAGGCGCTGTGTAATCTTGGCTCATTTAAAACACAATAACACTTGAAAATCGAATACCGCTTTCATTCAGCATGGACTGGAGACTCTGAAAAACAAACTATTTCATGCAGTACTAGGTAATCTACTGCATGGCTTTTATGGAATTCTCTTTGCAACAAAGCAATATCAACAATGTTTCAGATACAGCTGACTATGGTCAAAGTACTGCAATAACAATACTGCTGGGAACTTTGCCGTTGGCGTTAAAACAAAAACACCTTGTAGTGTGAGTCACTCAGTTGTATCGCCATCCTTCATCTCTGAGCAGTTGGACGTGAGGAGAATACAGACCAAAATGTGAATGAAGGCCTCGTATTTCAGCATCTGACGGGGAAAGTCTGCGGTATTGATCAACAGCCCCATTAAAACCCCTGCGTGGACTGTTGCGAGACCAATAGTTTCATTTTGTTTCCCCCCCCGACACTATAAACTTTTGCACTTATTGGCTCACAGCAGAAATGTTCAGTGAAGGATACACTGCAGACAGAAACGTCTGATGTGAGACTGGATGAGGTCCAGGTGTTCGTCTCTGTAGTCGTGCTCCTTCTCCAACGTGCTGATGGCGTCACACTGAGGTCAGATAAGTAGGGGACAGAGACAGGTGAATGTGTGTACGTAGATATACAAGGTCCAATGTGTTTGGAAATTATTGAACATTTCCACACAGGTTTCATTAATCCCACAATAATGTGCAGCACACAGAGTCCAATTAGGATTTTACGGTGAAAGTAAGATATGTTTCATAGCCAGCAGTGAGTAAGCGAGTGTGTACCTTGGTGCAGACTACCACCACTGGTATTCCCAGGTTGTGTGTGAGTGTGTTGTCTCCTAACGGCAGCAGCACACTCTCCTCCTCATCACTCCTCCTCTGTGGGGTGCCATCCTCTCCGCTTCCTGGCTCTGTGTACTCCTGGAACTGTTTTACAACTACACACACACACAAAAAAACACAACATTAACGTGGGTTAGAACTTTAAACATGTGGCATATCGTTGTCATAACTGGGACAAAACTCTTGAAGAGTTAGCGGTCCAATGAAAAACTTTTAACGAAGGCTTTGATGAAGAGGCTCCTCTTTCAAGTCTTTCCATACTGTTAGGAGCATTTCAGTGAGGAAACACGGATATATATACACTTTGTTTTCAAATTTATCGGTCAGCCCGACTGCTGTCAGTGTGACTCACGTCTGTGCTCCAGCTCCCGCAGTGTTTCTGGGGCGACCCGGAGTTTGTCGATGTGTTCCCTAGCAACGGCCGCCCACTTCTGGAGAGAGTCCAGAGCATTCCACGGCCGCGACATGTCAACCGTTATCAGCAGCAACGTGTTGCCGATCGAGTCCACTGGCACGGCTACTCCCTGCAGACCTTTGTGGTAAAGGTCTCCGTCTAACACCCAGGCGTTACACCTAGTGTGGTCTAAACACACACACAGGACACATCAATATAAATACATTACTTCAGACGTACTCGGTGACGGACTTCAGACATTTATTGGTCAATGAACTGCAAGCCACTGCTGGTTACCATCAATGTCGTCATCATAGACACTGAAGTAGAGGTATTCCAGGCCACGCCCTTTCATGAACTCTTCAACCCCCTGCATCTTTGCAACCAAGGCGGTCTTCCCCGAACCCACCTCACCTAAACACACACAAAATCAGTACAAAACAGAATAATGAGTCATAGAGAAACGATGGTTAGCTGAAGCCAACACACCACACCAGTGCTGAAGGTGTACCCTTTGTTCATGCATCCTGCTGCCACTATCATGCTCTGAGCTGTACTAGAAACATACTGCAGGGTAAAGAGAAAGGATGTAGTGTGCACCAAACACCATCCATAATTAGCATTGCACACAATTGCAAAATTATAGGGCTGCAACTAAAGAATATTTTCATTGGCGATTAATCTGCACATTACTTTCTTGATTAATTTATCACTAGGTTAACAAAACGCCTGAAAATAGTGACAATTTCCCATTCATTTTTATACGATTAATTAATTAGCAAAATATTTGCAGGATTATTTTCTGTCAATAACCTATTTGATTAATCAACTCATCGCTTGAGAACTGAACACGTGTAGCATATATATACTGTAAACAATCCACTTGACTAGAGCCACACTGCTTCATTATGGAGAGTTTTCTGCTTTCATGATGGCTCAAACAGCCTAATATCATCTATCTATCTATATTTATATTTATATTTTAACAAGGGACTGTAGCTGCATTTGTCCTGCCATCATTACTAACCTCAACGCTGGCAGCATGACATTGTTATTGTTACTGTGTATGTAGTAAAGGTCAAGGCTGCATCAATCCTTACACTGGGCCATATCATGTCGACAGGAGGACTCTAGCATCATGAAGCAGAGCTCGCTGATGTTGACATGGATTGCAAAACAGACAAATGGCTGTAAAGCCACACGACGGCAACCAAATCGCTGATTAGCTGGAATGGGCAGCCGGCTGCAGATTATCCCAGGCGGATGTGTAGCGTGTGTTTGTGTGTGTGGACACGAGGACAGAGCGAGACGGGGATGCAGCCTCTCATGCTTCGGTCATAAAGCCCCGTGGCCTCATTCAAAACACACACACACACACACACACACACACACACAGGCTGATGGTGCGTCTGATCCCCTCAGCATCATCTCCACCTAGCTGCTACTAGCATCACTGGATGCATCACTGGATGCTAGAATGACTTGCAGTGTTTCAAAGGGGCCCGATTCTCTCTCATAAGATGATGGGGGAGTGTGTGTGTGTGCGCGCGCGTGTGCAGGCAGAACAAAAACACCTGTCTCTCTCTGCTAGGCGACGCACCCGCTACCAGGGTTTGAACACAAAAGCACCATCAGTCCACAGCAAGCTAGCTTTGCTATGGAGCAGAATTAAGTCTAGCCGGATGAGACAAAGCTAAAGATGCTCATTGGCTAGCACAGGAGACTGCAGACATTCACAGATACCCACCCATGACCAGGACATTTTTCCCCGACGGTAGCTTAGATCTTGAATGGGTTGACACTTCACTCAGGATGGTGGACCTGCAGACACAACAGTACCGTTACAACACGGCAAAACAAAGCTTCTCCATTGATTAACACACAACGACTGACAGCGAGTAGCTTTAGCGAGCTAGGTGCTGCGGTGTCACCAGTACAATCTGGTGCTGATGCTAAGCTAGCCTCGTTAGCACGCTAGCTGTCAAAACCATCCTCATCCCCAGCACAATGGACCCCTGCTCGCCCACAAACCCTGCTCATAATAACCCGTCTTAAATAACGTATCGCCCACCATAAGTCCTGTCCGTCATCCTCCTCTGGGTTGGAGTTCTCCAGTGTGCTCTTAGATCCAGTTGAGGCGGAGGATAATAATGCACTCCTCCCTGAAGTCGCCATCTTCGCAGGGCTTGTTGTATATCGAGCAGAGTGCCCGGATGTAGCCGTTGTGCGCTAACCCTAGCCTGGTGCACCGCTCGCCGGGGCCGGGGCGTGGTCCGTCCGCACAAAGCTGGGGTCCTTTGCTCCAGACATAAAATGATCTCACCCGCAAAGTGACAGACCTGGACCGACCCCCCACAACAAGTTATCTACAGGAAGAGAGTCCACAGTACATTATTCATTTATCTAAAATAAATCTGTGATAAATAGGCTAAGGGGGGAATTAATATATTATTAACATTATAGGCTAATGTTTGTGTAAATTGGGACTGGATATATACGCATGAACACAACAGTGTGTTGGTATGAAGCCCAGGATTTTATGTCAATTATAAAAATAGTTTTGCCACAGTGTGCCTATGCTTGTCCCGGCCGATTTATCAGAATAAATCAGGATAAATGGGCTTTCAAAAGGAGCCGCACAAATCCGTTTCAGACTAAATATCCTCTTAAAATCGCTGCCTCATAAATCAATGCTTGGAGAATATGGCAACGGGCCTAAGCCTTCAGGATTGAGACAAAGCTGTAATACCATGTAGGAATTGGATGCACTTCAAATTGACTATTATGCATAGACTATATTAAAAATTGAAATTAAGAGCACCAGTGATTTTACAACAGGTTTAGACAATAACACAAATAAAATAAATTATTCAATCCAAAGTAATGCAGCCATGTTGAAAATCTAAAGTAGGCGTAGTTTTGCAGTTAAGTACTATAATTTAGTTTTGAGAGTATCAGAAGTCAGTGCATGTTCAGCACAGATTGAAGATCAATCAATCGATATTTGCATATAACCCTTGTGGGTGATAATCTGATGATAAAAAAGTAGCCAACAAATTGAATCAGCAAAACAATTAGAAACCAATATAAATGAAACTAGTAATGACAAAACCAACAATATCATTAAAAAATAGCACTGAGAGAACCTATCATTTTTAATTACAGCAGAAAAAAAGCTTCCTACACTACGTTCAGACGAGTTAACTTGATCTGAACCAATGAATCTGGTGGGCACAGCGTGCACTTTAATAAGTACCAAGTGGTCTCAGGTGTGCGGTCATCGCCTATTATAAAACCGCTGAAGCACATCGCAGCCAATCAAAGCTGAGAACCGGAAAATCAGTTTTACACGTGTCCGTTTGCCGCAACAACCACGAGATGGCGCTGATGCACTGTGCTCCGAGGCCGCTGTTCCCTGGGTACGGTGCGCTCTCTGCGGCCCCCGATGGAGCCAGCGGATTACAAACTCTAGTTAAGTGGCGCACCGTCCTCCTCCTCCTCTTCATCTTTTACCCACAGTAAACCCAGGCGCGCGGAGTGCATCCTCACCGTGCTCGCCCTGTGGGAATTAGAAAGCAGCTCTCTGGCTGTCAGCGGCAAAACCGGCCGAGCTCTGCAGTGTATAGGGGGACTGAGGAGAACATATAGACAAAAGAGTGAGGAGAAGGAGATGGGTCCGGAGGCGGTGAGGCATCCGTGATTGTCAAGTAGGCTAAACGGCAGTGAAGTTCTTCGGCTCTGCTCGTATCTTTTCTCCAGGTCGTTGAGGTGAGTTTTCTCTCTGCAGGAGATAGGAGCAGGCAGCCCGGATAGTGCATGTCTCACCCGCTGCATGAGATTTCATATATAATGACATCAGACGTTTATAGCCCGATATGTCATATTTATTGTTTAACAGCTTGTGAGACTTTGTGGATTTTTTTAGGAAAATTCTAATGTAGATTAAAATAAACCTTAAAACTATAATTTTTACAAGGTATCAGGCAACAGCATTCTAATTATTCTAATAGTGACTTGAGAGATTCTTTCTTTGGGAAAATACTGTAAAATACCTTGTAGGCTACTCTTGAAAAGCCTCTGCTTTAATTTATCTTTGCTGGAGAGCTACAAAACAAGATAAGCCCTGCTTTATTCTCTGACTATCTTTTCCTCCTGCCTCTCTGCTTCATTCACTCTCACTTGCCTTCCTTTCTCCAGTTCCTTCTCTCACTCCATCCCTCTAATCCCCCCTCGCACAACCTCTGTCTCCCTCACTCTCATTGCTTCTCTCTCTGTGTCAGCTCTAATAACACTGCGAGTTCGCAACACCATGACTGCTTCACTTCTGATACTATACTCTGTCTTTTCTCACTCCCAGCCGCCTTTCCTCTGTGCACTCTTTCAGCTGAGCATGTTGGTGTCGACTGTCATGATTAATATCCCATATAGGGTTTGCATAACATGCCACATATAGTTCTTTAGCCTTTGCTGCCCGTGTTGTGTCTTGATGGTGATGTTACTCCCCTTTGTCTGATATTCAATATGTGACCGAGCATTACAGTAATTTAATGTTATAGACCCTCCTTCGGATGAATCATTAATGTCACAGTCGATCTAAACACGTGCACACACAAAGGTGAATGGTCACACACACATATACGCATTTGCACAAATACGCACAGTCTAGGCCAGGGTCATGGCAATCAAGCTCCAAGGCATGATTGATTGTCACAGAGTAGAGAAGCTGACAGTGAGGATCCTTCGAATGACTTTTAGACATCTTACACCGCCCACCAATCAATCATTACTATTCTGGTTTTTGTTTGGGTATTATTTTGATTTACACACAAATTTCAGAGCACACAAAACACTTTGTTACAAAAATCGTTCAGCCTTTCAATCTGAAATTTGCATGTTTATGCTGGTGATTGTATCAACAGTAATGCAGTGAAAAATTTGCAATTTTCTGCAGCCATATTTCTTCTCAAACATTTGAAAAATGCCCTGTTATTCAATACGTTTATATTTTTGAACAAATCAGGGGAAAACACCAAAATACTTAATCCTTCCTTACCAATGCATTTGATTTGTATTACAGTAAATATGTAAAATAAAACAGTTGTCAGCTTTCCAAAACACCCTTTCTCATCACAAAGCTATTGCAAGATCCTGTGACGAAGTGTGATTTGAAAATTCATTGTCACCTCTGGCAATGTGCAACACATGTGACAGCTGATCCTTTGCTTTACTGTAATGGCAGATCCGGCACACAGCTCTCCCAGATTACAGTAGCTGTAGAAATTGTTCACATCCTCCGTCACTTATCAATGTCATTTGCTGTCACCCGAACAGACAAGCATCTGCTGCTTCTCGCACACACACACACACACACACACACACACACACACACACACACACAC